CATCTAAAACATTTGCATTTAAAGTGTAACCCCAGTTTGGATCTTTTTAATTAGCTCATTTCTAGACCACACAGAGAGAATTATTAATGTAAACTAAACCACCATATTTCATAGTAACAGAACCACATTCTGTAAATATTTAGGAAAGTAGAAGTCTGAGAAAGTAGAGAGCAACTGATCATAAAATGATTAGCATTGCTCTAAAATCAAAGCAGAATTCAAATTAAAAAAAACCCAACCAAACAATCATCAAACTGAAACAAAAACAACTCAATCATATACTACTGCATAAGGGTTTAACTTCAGCACTACTCACTCAGCTACACAAAACACGGAATCTAGATTAATATACAAAAATGTTTTATTTCACAGTGAAGTACATAAAGCTTCTAACTTTAGTAGGCTAAGGCTAAAAGAGAATTGCCTGTTAGGATAAAGGCTGTTTCACATTCCTGAAATATTCTCACCTATTATTGTTTCTGAAGGCACCGATATTATTTATCCATCAACAGTGGATTATGCGAGGGTCAGTGATCTACCGACCATCACGGACCCGGACAACTACAGCACGCGTTACTGTGTACAAGTACCGAGCAGTATTTATTCAAAACCAATTTTAAAATAGCTCATTTGTAAACATATTATAGAACTTTGTTAGTTTTTCCTAGTGGTGTCAGCAATATATTCCTGCAAAACTAACCAGCTGCATTATCGTTTCCCGTTTACAAAAAAGTATGAAAACGCACTCGCGCACATTGAATCGCCCCACGTTCGGCTTGACTTAACATGGCCCAGCCTTCAAACTGTCCGGCACAAGACACGCATTGCCAGCCCTCCGGACGACTCGCAGGTTGCACGCACTTTAACGGCAACATTAAAAGGTGGCCCTCGACCCTCCTCCGTCCAAATTTTTGATTAGGAAGGGCTGGTGCCAAGCGTCCTCACACGCGGGGCCGGGCCGCTCACTCTAACTGTTGTTCCCAACTGCAGCCCTAGAAAACCACCTGTAAAATACCGCACTTGAATTTACGGCTCCGACTTCACCCAAGGGAGGCACCAGCTGCTGCTCACCGCAGCTCCCGCCGTTCTGCTCTCCTCACGGCGAGGAAGGGTTACCGCCACAGTCCGGGCTTCTGCTTGGGCCGGTGATGACTTCTGAGGAAAGAGTCGCCTCCCAGCACAGGCGACCGAGTCGGGCCGCCTCACACAGACGGCCCCGGCCTGCGACGGGGGCGGCTGAAGGCAGCGACAGCGCCGCAGCCCTCGCCGGGCGGCAGC